CTCCCTCCCGCCTCGCGCCCCCGTGGTGGGCGGGGGAAGGGCGATGCCCCGCCCCTTCCTACGGACGTAGGACGAGGCCGTTCGCGCTGCCCGCGCTGCATGCTGGGGAGGGCACGTGCCGGCCCGCGGCCGCTAAGGGAGGGCAGGGGCGGGCCCGGTCCGGGGTCAGCGGGCCCTTCAGGGCGAGGTCTGGCGGCTCGGCCGTGCCGGCACCGTGGCTCCCGGGGAGGGGCTGGGGGGCCAGGGCCTTCGCTGCGGGCAGCTCCTGAGGCAGCGCTGGCTTGGCCTGCCGCGGCTCTGGCCGCGCTCTTAGCTCCCGGTCAGCGCCGTGGGGCACGCTGGCCTCAGCGGTCCTGCGCCTAGCTCCCCTGCCCGCTCCCCGGTGGCCTGCAGCCAGTGCTGCTTTCCAGGGCCCCTGCCCCCAGAGTGGCAGGAGGTTTTTAAGTATGGAGGTCCATCCTAGCAACAGATCCTCTCGCAGGGAATCTGTGGAGGACTTGTTTCTGCTTCTCCTGTAACGTGGTTTTCTGCCTGGTCGCAGGAAAGGATGTGGTGTTTCAGCAGCTTGTTTTAGCCGCGTGACTTAATTCTGACTAGAGATTGAACCAAAATACTTCAGAGGTCTGTTACCAAGAGCGCTAACGGCATGCTATGCAGCGGGGGTTTGCACTTGCGGTCGGGCCGCAGAAGAGCGCGGTGTCTGTGACGAGACCTGGAGACAAGGGCATGCTCTGAAATAGCCGTCTTGGGCAATTGTGTATTTTCATAACTGAAGTGAACTGCACTGAGACGTGGTGCTTTATGGTCGTGTTGGCCAGTCCTCCTTGAGAATTGGTAGTGGCTCCAGTGCTCTCCAAGGTTTCCAAGTGTGTTGCAGAGCATTTAGGTTACAGTAAGCCAGGGCAGAGAACTCTCATAAGCATGTCTGAAAGGAATGGTTAATCACCTGTGATTCCCAGGCCAAGGGCAGGTTTCCTGGTGCCCTTCGGGATATTCCATTTCTCCTCTCGTATAAATGGAAAAAAAATATTTCTTACTGTAACAGTCCCAAAGTACTTGCATCAAAAATGAGATCAGTAGACGATATGCGTTGGTCCACCTGTGATATCGTTGTCCTGCTCCAGGTTAGAGGAAGCACTAGGGAAATAAAATGTTTTCATTTGCGTTTGCCAGAGAAGTAAGAGTGAGTCACAGCTTTTTTCTAAAGTTACTGTATTGACTAGCATCCTGTCCCTGGAGGCTGAAGTATTTTAGGAGGGCCTCTGGCCATCCAAACATTCTCTGGTCATTAACAAAGCAACCTCGTATATGCAGGAGAATCAAGGTTACATCTTGAATACCCCAAGTCACAGCTGTCAGAAAAAAGGAAATTATGGCTCAGCAGCCAGAAGAAGGACCACATCTGTGTTCTAAAGCTAAGGGTGACGTGTGCTGTACATCTCGGAGAGCAGCATTCTTTCCTATTACCATAAATTTAGGAATCAGATCAAAGCACCTTTGAAATGATCTGGAAATTTTTATTATACCCCATGTAGAAGTGGCCAAGAAAGCAAGCAAAGAATACATTGGTGGAGGAAATACAGTCTCTTTCTGTTAAGTATTCGGAAACAAATTCTCAGGAAACGAGTGTAAGCAGCAATCCAGTTTTGTCTGTAGTAATGCATGAAAGAAAAATTAAAACAATGAAGATGCAACAATATATCTATATATATCTCCAGGCTTAAGAGAATTAAACATGGATTCAAAATTTCTCATCATTACTCAAAGGATCAGAGTCTTAGTATTTCAGGCACATTACTGTAGAGGCTGAGGTCTTCAAAGCAGTGTTAGCCTGGCTGTTCTCAGATAGCAGAGGGGCAAGCTGGTATGATTTAAAGCAGATTATTAGGTAAATGTAACATTTGGGAGCTGGCTGAAAACCAGTTTGAAAGTCACTCAGCTACAATCAAGTTTCTGATAGGCCTCTTTTCATGCAGCAGAAAAGCTGTGCCATCAGCTGTTATATTTTGCCAAAATTGTACCCTTCCAGAAAAACCTGCAAGGCAATAGCAGTTTTTCAAAATCACATTATCAAGGTGCACTGAATAGCCTTCATAGTAACTTCTGTGTTAGGGGACAAGCATAACTTGTCATTCAAAAAATATAAAGGGCAGGCTTTTCACATGTTGGTGAATTGTTCATAAGGGTGGTTAAAGGAAATATATCACTGATTTCTATCAAATGAACCAGCAAAAAATTAAAAATACATTCTTAAAGACCTAAATTACCTTCTGAACAGGGCTTGTGATGGGCTGTACTCTTCATCACTAAGCAGAAGTGGGTTAGGTAGCACCCAATCAGCCTGACCTGTGGTTGATTCCCACACTTTAAAAAGGTGACAAGTTTGCAGCAACTGAAAGTACTACTGGGGAGTGTCTCTGAAGAAAACCCAAGCTGTCTGGAGACAAGGAAACTACTGCCATGCTGCTGCTGAGGACATGGCACTTCAGCACATGAGGATCCCATTGCTGTTGTGTAAATTGCACAAGTGAGAGGCCTAGTTAACCTTCCCAACAGGGCTGTTGGAAGTAGCAGCTGACAAGCTGAATTATTACGTTTTATAGAGCCAAATCTTTTTGAGAGCCACAAGCGTCCTGTCACTAGTGAGCTGAAATGTAAGATTAGGAATTCAATTGATGTCCTTTTTTTTTTTGTAAGAATTGGGTCAAGTGCCAGAACGTTTAAGGCAGGGAGTACTTTTGAGTCATTGCTATCCTTGGGCAGTCTCCAAACAGTGATATTTAATAAGATCTTGAATTAGTAAGCCAGTGAAGAGTAGGTTTGCAAACTTCCAGGAGTTACTCTGTGCTTTTTCTGCCTTGCTGTATCATTTCCCTGAGCCTGTATCTGCTGGTTCTCAGACATGAAGTCAATTCAGGCCCGTGTTGGGAGAACAAGGAAACTACAGAATCCAAATTCAGCACAAAAAGTATCCTTGCCTAGGCAGATCTGTACATAATAAATGCAGAACCGGGCTAATGATGGGATGAAACCCTTTGGAACTGCACGTGTGTACTTACTTGCACGCATGAGGTGGATTACTAATTGCCAGGTGTAAAAGGTTGGGTCCTCTGTAGATTGAATAACCTGAACCACTGCAAAGTGATCTCACCCAATGGTGCCTCAATTGTCTTCTGCATGCTGATGTTGTGAACAAGAACATAAATACTCTTCTAAGTGTATAAACATTCCAGCACCTAGTGTGTGACTCAAACAGCATGCTGCAGGCTGAACTGAAATTACACCCTTCTGGATCTGAATCCTTGAACACATTGGGTAAACTAGCTTTAGTACAAAGAGGTTCTGAGAAAACCAGGTCTTGTCTGGGAACCCTGACTTAAAGTTTGATCAATTCCAAATGACTGCTGTTGCAAGATGATTTCTGTCCAAATACAAGACACTTGTATTCTCAGTTAACCAGCTGCGCAATTCCTTACAGTAGTCGAGATGAAGGGGAGAGGATATTCAATAGCATCCTTCAAAGTACCATAGTGTCAGGAGTATTTTTAGGTGTCCTGAAATTGCTATTAAGTATTGTGCTTAACACAGCTATGCTGGACAAGCATTTTTAATAGGTTTCTGTTGATAGTATGATTCAAATTTTAATGTGGGCAAGCCAAATAGCAACGTCTGTTTGTTGTTAGTGGCAGTCGTTTTTCTGGCAAAAGTTTTAAGAGTGTTTTTGAAAATCTGTTTGTGTGAAGTGAGTCAAGAATCTGGCTGCGTGAAAGCACTGTTGACTTTGTGATGGCTTAGTAGCAATGAAACATACACCCAAAAGTGTGCTTTCTAGTAATAGTTATAGTTATAGTTATATCTGCACTTGAAGTTCTGGAAATGCCTACCCTTAACAGCTTTGATGTAAGAGATTTGGGGTAGTTTCCAAGGACACGGGATTGTGTTGTACAGCAGAACCAGTATAGCTACAGTGCATGTGATAGGCCATCCACTTTATAGAGGAAAACTGTATACTTTGGGTATTTATGCTGGCTCTAAACTAAAGAATTTTCTGCAACCAAAAATTATTGCAGTTATAGAACATGTGGAGTTATTACTGTGTAGTAAGCTTTACAAATGTGTGATAAACTGAACATGTAATGTAATCTCTCGCTTACTGCTGAAAGGACCCAGTATTTTAAATAGAAATCAATCTTTCCTTGAAAGGAATCATTCATAAAGTTAGTCTTCTCCCTTTTAGTCAAACAAGTAGACTGGCAAAGTTAGTTTATCTGTTTAAGTGAAAGGCAGAATGAACTTAATGGAGTAAAAATTACATTGGTAATACTCAAGAATCCTGCTTTGAAAGCTCAGATAATAAAAAAAAGTAAGTTTCCAATTTAAACTTGCCATTGTAGTGGGAAAATTCTAAGTTTAACTAGTAAGAGTGTTACTAAATTGCATGAAAGTAAGTTAGCAGTAG